AGTTTTTAACAAAAGACAAAAATACTGTGAAGGTCTTAAAATTAATCAGCACACTATTATAAATTCTGAAAATGTAAACCTTTTAGGTGTTAATCTTGATAGTGCACTCAGTTTTCGAGGGCACATCAATGAAATTCGTGCTAAATGCTCCAAATTAATAAATATTATCAAGTTCTTGAGAGGGGTAATGTTCTCCATACAATTTTTCAACTCATTGAGTATTGAAGATACGTCTGAATTTACGTCAATATCGAGTAGTTGAAATAACTCTTTAAGGAACAATAAAAGTAGGTGAATTATTCTGAAGGTTGTTCAGAAAGTGGTTTTCATAACAATTACTATCGTAATAACTTTTGTACTAAATAACATATTTTTGAAATTCCTCCTACTGCTTATTTCATTTGCGTCGTCTAATCGAAAATGATTTAATTGAAGAAAATGATTTAATCGCTTTTTTCCTTAGGTAAACGAATACCTGCAATTCAAATACGGACAGAGATGACCTGAGATCGGCCTGAAAATGACCATTTTAATCGGTGGTTCAGAGGGTTGATACATTACAAAGAGTTAAGAACAAATTATAAATGTAGCTCGTGAAGAAATTTTGTAAGGAAATAAAATAATGGAGACCTACACTGTTTATGATAGTAAATTAAGCAAAGTAATAATTAATCAAATGTAATTATTTACTTACAACGTAAAAATTGATTACATTTTTTATATTATATATGCTATTACTATATTATTATTTTGTATATATTGTTAGTATATCATTAAAATTATTATTTTTTATATGCTAGTACTATTTATTATTTACATATCCTATAACTTTATATTATTTTATATGTTATTATAATTGAGTTTACTCAGAGATTACCCAAAGAAATTGCAAGAGTTTTTCATGAAATAATACAAGGTATCCCATACAATAACAAGGATAATCCAATACACAAGGTGGGTAACGAGAATAATGTGCGAAATGTATAGAGGAGTGGCATTATTAGATGTAAGATACAAAATACTGAAGTCCGTGATGGTGTGACGGGTAAAAATGTACAAAAAATAAACACTCTTATTTCTATACAAATTTTATTCATCGATGGTCGGATCGTAACTGACATTCCTCTCTTCCAACATTTCTACTTTATCTTTCTGCTGGCCTCGGCGACACGTGCCTCTGTATCCGAGAACGTGTCGCCTGTCATCACAATGATAAAACGATAAAGGCAATGGCTAGAGAACAATAAGGTATT